CTGGATACTACAGTTCATTCTCTGTGTACCCAAAGTGGTAAGCCAGAAGCTGCCATCAGTGGAGGGAAAGTGTCTGGGAGAGATGCACTGAGAAAGAAGCAAGCTTTTAAGTCTCAATTGCGCATAACCAGGCCTGGCTGCAGGAGCATTAAGAGGAGGGAAGGACAGAAGAGGGGTCAAGGGCAGCAGAGATCCTTTGTTAAGAGAAGCTAGCTTAGCAGAAAGTCAGGCATGTTTTAAGAACAAAAGCTAGCATGTAATCTCATTGTGGTTCAGTTGCCAGTGACTGGGTGCTCTTGGTATTTGCTGGGCAACCTCGGAGAGCAGGACATTAGTCCCACAGGTTGGCTAGTTGACATAGTATACTCCCTGTTTTACAAAGAAATCTCATTCTCCAGTTTCAGCAATTTTTTCTGCAGGAATTTTATTAGAATGGGTTATGGATTGCCTGTAAACCCTAAATCAAACTTCCAAATCTGAAATTGGGTCTTTAAACCTTTCCCAGGACTAAATGAAGTATGCTGCTCATAGTGATTTCATAGAGATCATTTCCTTTGGCTGAGCTGTGGCAGTGTGTTCACCAACTGAACAACTGATCTACAACCAAAACCCAGACATTTATTCTAAACAACAGACTGAAGCTAAGAGGTTGTGTAATTTGGTTCTATTATCACAGCACAGATTGGGAAACTCAAAATGAATTAACAGGAAGTCACTGTTAGAGACTATTAGAAATAAGGATCATTCAGCTCTGAAGGATTTAAAATGTTTCAACTATTTCTTGGGGGTGAAGGCAGAGGAGGGGGTTCTTTTTCAAAGCTGTGAAATATTGCAGTATCTCCTTTTTTTGATTTAACTATGTTCTGAAGTGCTACAAAAAGGCTCTGATGTAAACATCCAGTTTATTTTATATAGAACTGCGACCTGACTTTTTTTCCCAGTGTCGCCTGTTTTGACTGTGGGCACATATGAGTTGATGGGCAAGATAAGATAAATATTTTTCCATTTATGTAACAAACACCTGAGTTTTTCTTCCGCATGCAACCAAACTGATCTTGTCCCATTCTAATCCCAGTGAAGTTTTCAGAGGAAGAAATAGGAATTAATTGTTTATATGCCTTTGAAAAATGTTTTATTAGGACCTGGTAAATACAGGTAAGACAACTCCACTGTACTTAGGTTTAAGCAGCCCACTAAGTTTTAAAGTTTTAGATTTAAGCAAAGAATGGAGTAAGCAGCACAGGTATTTAAAACACTAATTTGAAAGCTCTATTGGTTTAAATAAAGCTGTCGAAATTGTTCTGTTTGGAGCACATGCTTGCTTTTAGTATCTGAAAAATTCTTTAGTGGACTCCAATTCGTTAGAGAGGGCTAACAGGTTTATGGCACCTCATGCTCTGTTGTGGTTTTTCCATACTAACTTTTAAAGACAATACTTACAGACAACACAAGAGGGAGTGGGGAGCCAGTAAGTCCTTCTCACTACTCACAGTAACAGGACTCAAGTTGCTCTTTGGGTTGTAGTATTCAACGTGTATGATATCTAGAACTGAACATATTGGATATTGGCCTTCCAAACAGGCAGTGAACATCACGTATTAACAACTGATACTCTTAGCCCATGAAGGGAAACAGATTAAAGAATGGCATCTGAACGTTAGATGACATTTGGATTTGCAGGTATGATGTTTCCTGAAGCTTTTTGTCCCGTCTTCAAAATTAAACATAAGAGGTGTCCCTAAAGGGAATATAGATTCAAGATGCTAACAGCTTGAGTCTACATACTGAAATGTTTCAAATTCTTAGCTGGTCTAAATCGCTGTCATATATTTTCCCTTTCCCATTAAGCATGCCAGCAATTCTTAAAACTCAGTGTTGCATAGTTTATCAATAACATTTCCTGCTCAGAATTATAATTTAAACGTACAAATCTACATCTCATTAACTCACCGTAGAAGTTACACACAAAAATACAGTAGTAAAAGCCAGGAATGCCAGCAAGAATTTTCTGATGCCCAACAGTACGATTAAGACAAATTAATGGCTTCAAAACAGTCAGCCAAACGCATTTTCTGTCACAGAAAGCTGCTGATTGTTGCGCACTGAGCGATACTCCTTTGTTTCCACCCTGCTTCTTATGCTCTTTACCTAAGCATCTGAAACAGGACACTGTTCCCAGCAGGAGAATATGAAAGCATTATGCTTAGCATGAGTAAATAGAACCTGTTGTGTGGCTCAGAGGTAAACTGGGCGAGTTTCTTCAGCCTCCTCAACCAAAAATATCCAGGAAAGCTCATAGGCCACTGGTCACCTCTGGAGTGCCAAAGTTATTAAAAGACCACCTAAAGACAACCTCTCACAAAACTAACTGGACTGCAACAGGAGGCAGGGAAATAATTGTTTCCTACTCAGATTGCTCCCAAACCAGTAAGATTTACTCATACGCATCATGGTAAGAACACAACAGCACTGGACACTTGCCAGAAACAAACTGCAGGATTTGTCACTGCCTGCCTAAGCAAACAAGATGAGAAAGTAGGACTCTGTTACAATGCTCAAGGGAGGCGGTCCATCCTATTAGGACCACAATAAGATGTGGTCTCTAAAAAACACATCTCGATCCCTAGACATTAAAGAGTTCTGAGGTGCCTCAGAAAGGATGCAGAAGCTGCTGGTTGTACTAAAAGAAGGTATTCAGCAGAATACTCATGCCTTTTCTGCAGGCCTCTCTGCAGGGACTAAACATTTGAAAGGACAGAATAGCCACTACACATGAAGACTGGGTTTTAATTTCTATTAAAAAATCCAGAGATCCAGGATTTTCCATTAAATCTAGAGCAGATCATGGAGGCATACAAAGGCTGTTGAAACAGGGCTAGAATATGGCAAGAAGCAGCTTAATAAGTTTCCTTCAACAAAAGCAGAGGCCTGTCAACCTTTCAGCAGAAACCAACTGGCTGGTGGGAACTAGTGACAGAAAAGCTGGCACTAAACAGAGCAACAGACTTGCAGCTTGTTGAATGGCACAGCACAGAAGTAGAAAGAACTGTGTGTGCTCAACCGCTAATGTACAGTGTTGATCCAGGCAGATATTTGGAAACTACCTATTCCAAGTACTCCCGAGCAGAGACCATGAGGTGTTTAACCCTTAACCACTGAAGTCTGATTCTCTTAACATCAAAATCAGTTTCATCTTTCTCCCACAAAAACAGCTGTTTTGATGGAAAGGCCAGAGATGACAGAACTGCAGGAGTCCTGACACACTATTCAGCTAAAGGTGATAGGCTGGAATAGGACCTAGTTTAGCTTGACAGAACTGTTCAGTACTCTACAATGCCTATAAAACTTGATCCAGAGTCAAACATCAGTGGAATAACCACAGAATAGTGACCATGCAAATTGTGAAATACCTTCTTCCAGCGGGACAGATGGACAAGTTATAGAATCTGAGTCTGTCTCCCTTACCTGAATACAAGTTACTGAAGATACATCAGCCATGGGATATAGCATATCCCATTTGTGGATATAGCCTGAGAGAATTACCTCACTTGGCAAGGACCCAAACTGCTTTTAGCCACCTTTATTATATGACGATGTAATAAAAATCATGAGACCAAGAGAATAAAAGGCTCTCCTATACAGGTTTGTACAGCTGCTGTCAAGGGTCCCGACACACTTAGCAATAACACACATTCTCACATGTGTCAGGCTGCATCAGGAGGTAATCAAACTGGTCAGGGCTGAGTAATGCCCTCAGCCTGTGCAGAGAGGGCATATAAAGTCACGTGAGCTGCAGTGCTGCAAGTTAAGACACAAAAACAATGGATCATCCAGCTAATAAAGAGAAAAGGCAAAGGCAACAGACAAAAACCCAAGGATAGCGTGGCCACTGTGGAGAACAGAGGAAGAAGTTACTGATTCCTTTTTCTCTCTAGCAGAAGAGTTTGTGATGTGGCAAGGTAAAACCTACATATGGAGAGCTCATGGCAAGGTGGAGGGCAAAGAAGTCAAAAGGGAAATTGAGCAAAGATGTTTAGGGTGGGAAAAGGCACTGAACACCATCAGGCAAGGCTACAAGACCACACACAGCAACAACAGTTGAAAAGGACCATGGAAGTGAAGGATTGAGAAAGCATACCATGCTGTAAAAGCAGCAATAAGAAGGGGTAACAGCTACTGAAGGTTTGCTAGGGACAGGAGCCAAGAAAATGAACAGAAAAACAACAGGGTGTCTAGTTCTCGTTGCAAGACGAAAAGACAAGGAGAACAGGAAAAAGAAGAAAATCTGTGTGCTGCAGAGACAGCATTTGCTTGTTGGGAGAGCAAAGAAACAATTCTGTACGCTGCAAGAAAGAGAAGGCTGCATCCCACAAAGGCTTTGACACGCACCAAGGTACTGCAAAATCATCTTGCTTCCGACAGAGATGGAAGCAGTCTATTCAAGACACTTTGTCTGCTTTAGAGCTACCCAACAGGAAGATGGCAGCTACAGTATCCGGGCTAATGTCATCCTACAGGCTGGGGTCTGATGGCTTCTCTTCGTACATGTCATGACAACACCAGTAAAATGAACAAATAATTCCTAAATATACAGTCTTTTCTTTCTCTCTTCTCTCTCCATAAGTAGGCAGCAGGATCTCTCTGGTCTTACAGCAGCAGTAGAACTGTTCAGCCAGCTAGCAGGAAGCAGTGCATTTCTATGAGAAGCACCAAATGACCATTGCTCTTCTGCTGGCTGCTGTCAGAGACAACCTATGGACTTAAGCTCTGACTTACAGTAAGAGTTGTTATTCCCATGGAGCTAAAGAATTGAAGCTCTTATGGCCCACCATTGTATCCCTTTTATGGTATCCTCCACAGAAGCAGGACCAGGCAACGCATCACTGTATCAACAAAAACTCGCAGCACTCAGGCTACTGAACTGCCTTTGCATTTACATGAAGAAGTTATTCGCAGAACAACCCAGCTTTGCAGTACTTCAGTTAAGATTCAGTTCCTACCTGAAGCCAAGGATGCTCTAAGGCTTCCTCAGTTGTAAGACGCTTGCTTGGATCCACTACTAACAGCTTCTTCACAAGATCCAGAGCTAAGGTAATAAAAAGAGTTAGTTGACATATGATCAATAAATTCATTACCTGAAAATGAGTTCTACGATAGGCGTACATCAAAGCTATGTGCAACAAGTGTCTTCTAACACTTCAGAACAATGCCCAAAAATACTGCCTGGGCAGATCCCTTATTTTTTCTATGCACAGGGAGGGCTGCCAGTTGCAACCATTCTTCCTCCACATGCATGTGATTCAACACTTTTCAGTACACCAAAATTACCAGCAGATATACTGAGCATGTCCACAATCTATGCTCTGACCATGCAAAGGAAGTTCAGCACTTTCCTAAAAGTTTCAGTATTACTGTGGACAAGCAAAGACAGCTTAGTTTAGTTTTCTGGTTTATGGTGTCTTGGAAAGAAGATTATCTGTCTGGGAAGATGGAAGAGACAAGACATACACATGTGCTCAACACTGTCACATAATCACCGTTTTCTTAGGAAACTGCTTAATAGGCACTGTGAAAAATATGGCACTTATGTTGTATTTTATGACTCCAAATCTTCCATATAGGAATTTTGGCAAGACTTAACTTTTCCTTGTTATCTGAATTTTCTTTTGTATATACCATTAGGACTATGTATAACCATAACATAATTTCCATTCTCATATATGTCTGACTTATTATTGAATAAGCTTCAAATCATTCAGGAAGGAGTTATATTTGGTAAGCTTATTAGAAAAAGAATGATCACATGATTTATTAGAAACTCCTCTGCACATACAAAGGAGTGTCCAAGGCAAATACAGTTATTTTGTGCATATAAAATCTCCTCAAGAACAGCATGCAGACAGTAACTCCCATTTTGGTTTGCTATACAAACACAAATAGTTCTGCAGACTATTTAGCTTAGAGTGGCCCAACTCAATAGTTGATTCCACAAACATGGCTGATATTTTAAGCACCGCTAAAGACTAGCACCACTATGTCTTAATACTTCTATCTTGGAATTCCAACTCATATTCCTTGAATTCGTGTCATTTTTAGTTCAACACCTGAAGAATCCTTGAGCAAGGCAAAGTTTTCAGACCAGCCTGATAAAATTCAGAAGAAAAAGCAAAAAGAGGAAAAGCAGACGTAAGTGTCCACAAACTCAATACTTCTGTAGTTAATAAAGGGAAATATTACTAAGAAATCTCTTCAATGAAAATGCGCCTGCTCTTTCCAATGCTTCAACTTTGAACTAAAAAAAAAAAAACCCCAAAATATTTTGAAGAGACTACTTTAAAATCTAAATATATCAATATGCAACATGCCATAGAGCATAGAGAAAGGAAGTTAAAGGAAAACAAGAACTACAAGAAAAGAGTTAGATACTCTGCTGCCCACAGCAAGGGAGTCATACCCAGGTGTGACACATGCTTCCATTCTTTTGAAATGAACATGTATTCTCCACGAGTGATTTGATCTCTCAGAGACAGTTGAGTATTCTGCTCATTGAATGGTGGGTAGCCACACAAGCTATAGAAAAGGAAAGAAGTTAAATAACACAGATTTTGTCATAGCAAGTGAAACACTAAAATTACACATTTTAAAGCATCTGCTAACATAGCATTTTTTTACATGTAAACAGTTTTTAACACATTTTCACTTCCTAATAGAAATACTGAAGTTGCCAAGTCTTGAGCCATATCAATGACTGCCCGATGAAGGTAGCATCTACACAATATCTTACCATACAAAAAGAATAACTCCTAAACTCCAGCAGTCCACAGCTCGGCTGTATCCAGCAGTCCCAAGTGAATTTAGAACCTCAGGAGCAAGATACGTGGGAGTACCACATAAAGTTTTCATAAGAGAAGTTTCTCCAAGAATCTTGGATTGTCCAAAATCTGTAATCTTGCATTTAAAAATGGTAACACCACATTACACATTAGGATTGATGTACTAGAGCATATCATACTGTCAACATGCATCAGGAGGTAACATTGAGTTTCTTCCTTCCAAGTCAGTTCCGGTACATGACTATGAACAAAACTGACCCCAAACTTTAACTTTATTAAATATTCAGTAAACAAAACAGAGAATGGGAAAGGGGGAGTAGGGAGAAGTATAACAGAGGATCACACTTTACACTAGCAAAGAAGTACTCTCAGGTTTGGATGTAAATGGACAACGCAAATAAAGGAGCTATAGATTATTAGAAGAGATTACTTGAAAAAATAAGCAGTTTACCATGAAAAAACCCAACTCTACCCTCTCAAAACTCCATTTGAAGTTATATACTCAATTTAGTGCTAAAAAAGCACATTTCTCAGTTGGTCAGGTATGTGTAGGCATTGAAATAACCACAGAAGTAAAATTACAATTATGAAAAACCCCTCAATGTTTCACAGTCTGTATGACTAATTGCATAATATTTTTTTTGCTATGCTTAGCTAAATATTTAGAAGACTGGGAAGGAACACTCCCAAATTTCTAAATGAACAAGAATGTAAGTTTCCTTACCTTTATCAGACACGTCTCTTCAGAGGATGAAAGCAGCACATTCTCTGGCTTTAGATCTCGGTGTATAATTCCATTGTCATGAAGATACTAGATAGATGCAGATCAAAGAAAAATAGACTATTGACATTTTTCAAGTGTAACCTTTCCGATTTTTCATTGCTCTCTCTCTGCAGTTGCAAGATACTAAAATTGAGTCAAAATGAAAAAGGGAAAGAATTGATCTGAAAGCATATTCAGGTTCAGACAATTAAGTCTAACACAGGAAACAATCTTGCAGAAGTTACTAACAAAATATACTTATCATTTCATGAATTTATATAAGGGCCAAATATTTGCGACCTACTAAAGTAGTCTTAATCTGCTGTCTGCTGAACTGAAACATTTACTCAGGAGTGCACAGTACAGCATCTGATCACTACATTTTTTGAAGGCTACTATATAGATGGCTCTTTGCCCACACACTACTAGAAATCACACATGGTTATCTTGCCATCAGTGAGCACAGCGTGGATTATTATTTTAGTCCTGTTATTAATAAGTAAGAGCGTTTGAATGTTCTTTCGCTGTAATGAGGTAAAGAATCTTCTTAAACCAACTTGTCAATTGCTTGCACAGGTTTCAGAAGTGACAAATGACAGAAAAATTCATCTGACAATCATCTGCATAACCATATTTCTTTTGGTAGAGTTTATAATTATGTACCTTTACAGCCAGTAGCATTTGATAAAAATACAACTTGCAGGTAGCTTCTTTCATCTTGACTGGCCTTGACAGTCTGTCATACAATTCTCCTCCTTCCATCCTAAAACAAATGCAGGTAACAAGTCAATGTATTATGTCCAAAAAATTCATCTCATTGGACAAGACTGAGACCAAAACATTTGGCTACTTTAGCTACAAAGGAAGCATATTCTTTTGAAAAGGAGTAAGCAACATCTTAAACACAGCACGTGCACTACTGAATTAGGCCTGATCTCCTAAGTCTTCAGTGGGAATTGTTACAAGGGGTTTGATCAGCCTCTTCTTAGAAGCTCAAAATCAAAAAAAGTAGCAGCAATCCACAAGAGCAGCAAAGTGGGCACCTCCCCAGGCACTAAGTGCCTGCCCAGCAGAGCAGGATCACTCCCCAGTCACTCAAGTTCCTGATTGTATAGAGGTTTTGGAAAACAGAAATAAAACCCAAACCAAACCTCCAGAGCTCAGAATGATTTCTCTTCTGCGTGGCTATGAAAAATACCATGTTTTATGCGTTTACTTTCAAACAAGTTACTTACAGTTCCAACACAATGTAGTAATCCTCTGCTTCAAAGAAGTTTTTGATCTTGATTAAGCAAGGCTAATAAAAAAGGGAACACAAATGGACACACACAAAAAAGTAGAATGATTTGTAAAAACTAACATTATCAAGAGTTTATCACCCTAAAGCTCCTATTTCAGTCTGATTTCAACCAGGCCTGTTAAACTAACACTTAATACAACTGAGTTGTGCCAGAGGCTTTGGCAAACACTTAGTATTCAAGTCTGTTGTCTTCCCCCCATACCTCCACACACAAAACCATTGAAACATTGAAATTACTTCTCAAATTTACATTTTAGTTATTCAAAGTTTAAAACCCTCAAATCTGCAGCTACTTAAAGAAAAAGCATTCAATGGACTTATTTATAACAGAAGTTATACACATCCTTTCAAATATTTTCTAGACAGATAAAATGGGTCTTTAGTTACTACACTAAGGTCCGTGAACTACAGAAGTAGAGTAGGCAGCAAAAAGGAGTAAAAATGTACAGTAACACTCACATGATCAATTTTCTTCAAAATTTCAATTTCTGTATTGATATTAAAAGCTGGATTCTATTAAAAGAATCAAATATCATACAGGTAAGAGAGCTTTTCTGGAATAAGACACATCAGAAATAAGAGAAAAAAAAAGAGAAAAACCATCATTTCATGTCCCTTGCTTCTCTAAGTGACCATAACATACAGCCTTTTTTCCATAAACATACAGCCTTTTTTCCATAAACCCATCAGGTGCCTTCAGTGAACAAAATGAACAGTCTGCTTTTATTGTCTGTAGAAAGACATTGCTCCAGACATATTGTTTCACTGCAGGTTAGAAATCTTCACCTAATTTCCAAACTACACTAAAAAAATCTTGGTGAGTATGTACCAGTATTGTCCTCTAAACACCTTTCCTCCCTCCAAGATCCTTTCCATATGGGCTAACCTTGAAATTAAATGCTACTTTCTCCAAGCCCTCATAGCAAGATAACATAAACAGATTCTTTTAGCTGTGGCTTAAGCTCAACTCATTAAATCAGCCCAGCATTTACTTTTTTCTCTTCCACTCCAAATCATCTCTAACCACACACAATCAAATCCATATACAACATTCCAATGCAGTCCTATCTGTTTGTACAATGGCATTTCTTAATCTTTATTACAAATGTTTCAAAGTTGCATTTTGCAATTTTCAATCATATTGATGTCATATATTCATCTGCAAGTAATCGTACCTTCTCCTCTGAACTAGGGAAAGTGTAGGCTATAGCAGAAGCTGTCACTGATTTTCAAGTATACAACCTTGCACTATTAAACATTATCTAACTTGTATTTCTCCAGCATACTGTCAGTACTGCAATCTTCCTGGCTCTCAACAGAGACTTCAGGCCAGTGCCAAAGGGTTGAATTTGTGTTTTCCCATTTTCTGTGCCATGATGTGTAAATGTAATAGGAGGGAAGACTAATCTCAAGACAAATTCTCAAACCTGCCACTAGTGACTAACTCTGCTCCACTGAAGCCTCCTGGCACCCCTTCCTCAGCTGCCTCTCTTTCCACCTCAGAATTTTTGTCTTCACAAACATATTTTCCAACACAAGTAGTAGTTTCCTACTTGTCAGTTTGAACAGATTCTGTATATTGTATCTGTGCTCTGAAGGCCATTTTCCCATCAAAGAAACTGAACTAACTTCAGTAAATCCACAGCAGCACAAGCTGTCCAACTCCTCCTTCCATGCACTTTTGCCTCTAACTGTATTTTTCTTCAAAGTTTATCCTATAAGCTTACATAAAATTTATATAATAGATACAAATATGCTTGGATCTCTCTCTCTCACACTGGAATACAGCCGCTTGGCATGCTTTTCTCCCACAAATTCAGGCTTCTGCTACAAGACACATGGAAAGCCCTTCCCAAAAGGCTTTTTTTTAAAGAAGTATTATGATGGAGAATACAGCAAAATTAGCAGTTTGTAGATTTCTGGTCAGACTTTGCTGTTTACGATGCACCTATCTTATGCCTTGTAGGAGATAAACTCCACAGTACTCCCCAACACCCTTTGTATATACTGAACAAACAGTCCCAAACTATGAACGTGATGAAACGTGGTCAAGGACTAAAAGCAAGCACTTTCTACAGAATTCTACCTTGAAATTACATCCAGGAAGAGACTGGTCTTTAGTTTAAGAGAGCTGGGGAGGCAGCGAGGTTGCCAGATAATCCAGGAGCACTGCAAGACAGCCAACAGACAGAAAACCAAACAAAACCACTTACTGCCTCAATCCCACTCGCAAGAAACTTCCGTTTATTGATGATCTTCACCGCGACTTTGTTACAAGTGCTCTTCTCAAACGCCAGTTTGACTTCTCCACAGGCGCCACTAACAAAAGCACAGCTAGGTTAACACTTGCAAGTAGTTTACAGGAATTTGCATAACCAGTGCAGACAAATGGAATGAAAGCATTGGATTACACACAACTGGAGGCTGCTGCTTTCTAACTTTCTGAATATGGCATGTTGTCAAAACTTTCTCGGAACGCATTCAATACTTTGGAAGCCTGCTTAAACAGCAAGTGATGTCAAGAGCCACCCACTCAAAAATGTATCAGTAGATCTGTAGAGCAACTAATCTGTTTGTACAAAGGGTACCAGTGAATATCACGGACAGGCTCTGTCAGCAAATCACACAAATGCATTTAAGAGAACCTCATGAAGAGTTCTCTCAGCACCGGACTGCACAAATCTGACTAGGTATGACAATACTTAGAATAAGTAGCAACTATATTACGGGAAGAAATCCTTGTATTTTGCACTCAGATTTGTTTCCACTTAACCATTCTCCAAATTGTTCATTGGCCATCTTTTTCCAAAAGGTAAAAGAACAGCCTCTGCTCAAGATAGCCTTTCCCCTCTTTCCTGAGAACACTTCTTCCCCATTCTGTCTGAAGGCCTCAACAGCGTGTATTCTAACATAAACCTCTTCCTTTTACTTCCAATAACTAAATCAAATCTACAAGGTAAAGGTGAAACTTGCTAAGAATCTACAGACTTTATTCTCTTTTAGAGAAAAAAAAAAACACAAACAGTTTCACAGTTAATGGGAGGTTACAAAACCCAAGGTAATGATGGGAATAAAGTTAAAACCCTGTTCTAGCTGTTAAAAGAACAGGTTTATTCAGGTGGTTGCATTCTGGTTTTATTTACTGTTTTTTTTGCAGCAGCAGCTCAATGAACACCAGTAATTCCAGCCCAAGCTGCTAAACCCAGTAAAGAAAATGAACACTTAAAACTGCAGAAAGCAGGAAACTTACCTTCCCAAAGTCTTGGACATGATATATTTCTCTCTGAATTCTCGAGGAAACACCAACTGATCATCCACCATAGGATCAGAAAATACAAACACTAGGAAGACAAGTGGAAATCGTGTTCCTGTTAATAACTTTAAAACTTTACATAACTGTGTTTCCTGAGCTTTTAAAGTCAACAAGATAATTAAGAAAGTGTGCCTGCTAGAACAAAAACATACATATATTTTAAAAGCTAACTGCTGCTCTGGATGACATCAGCTGTGAGTTAGCAAGGTGGTTTCAGCACTGAACACTGACATTTTCGGTATCACCTTCACAACAGTGCTTAAGGAACACTACGTTTAAGGACAAAAGAGGTAAGAATTTTGATGCAACAGCAGGTAGTCAAGAGAAGTGACAATCAGGAAGGTGGCATCTTGGTGCAAAAGCAAAGACAAAGAAACAAAGCCCCAACCCTGCTAATTTTGGTGAGGGTGTTTTAATTATTATGCAGCACCTGGAGGATTTTCAGCTTCCCTTGAACAGCCCATTCCCTGTTCCCTCCAGGACATACAGAGCTACCGACGCACAGAAGTACTTCAAAGAAAGGAAAACAACTATGAAAGTTTATACTATGGTGCAGTGGTCCCTGATGCAGCTTCTTTTAAATTTTCTTCCTTCATGGAAGTGGATATGGGTAATTTTTACGTGAGTACTAAAACAGCAACTGATGCAACCCTAATGGCTGTATTTTAACAGCACTCATGAAGCAGCTCAGCTTGCAAGAAACATATTCAAACCACTGCAGAAACGACTGTGTGTCACCACATGAAGAACCTACTTAGTTATGGGACATTTTACCCTTATTAGTCTGTACAGACAGTGCAATTTCAGCGTTGTGAGTCAGTGGAAGCCTCTTCCCTCTTCCAATGAGCTCTCTGTTAACAAAGGTTCCATTTGCACTGTGGTCTTCAATGTAGGCAACATGTGAACTTCTTGGACCCATTTCCTCAAAGAGGAAAAAAAAAAAAAAAGGAAAGGTAACTGGGGAACAATGACTTTTACTGTGAAGACATGAAAGACTATAGAAAATTACTATTGTTGGCTCAGGAAATCAGACTACTGAGGTTATTTCAGAATGGAGCATTGCCAAAGGTCTTGTTAAAGGAGCCAACACTGCATACACTTAAACTTTGATTTCTTTAGGATCTGCCCCCACCAAAGGCAATCTTTTCAATTATGCCGGGATAGAGAGGCACAGTTGACCTTTGTACCACCTACCCTGAAAATTCGGAAGTGCTTCTTGCTATAGTTCTGGTAGAAGCCAGTCTCAGACAGTCCTAGCTTAGAAAAACTATAGTCACAGCTTTTGTCTCTTCCAAACCAGTATTCATCATTCACGCAGTCTGTAGAGGAGGGAGAAGTAAAGCAGAGAGAAAACAAAACTGCAGGAAGTTATTAACTGTGGCAGTACAGAACGATGCCACAATACAGTGAGCAGGGTAACAAAGGCAAGATCCTTCCTATACAATCAAGGGTATTTGTCTTAATTCAGACAAAGCACCTTGTACTATCAACACCTTGCGCAATATTTTACTGATTTTACCCTCTTTAGTCAGAGCAGAGCTTCCAGCTCACCCTCAGCAATACCGACTCACACGATACATGAACACAACTATGAAATGGAAAAATGAAGCAAGTAGCAAAGAACATGAATGCCCCAGAACTCCTCTAAGCCCATGGAAGCCATGTATGTTGTACTCGGTATAGACTGTAGTACAGAATACAGCGTCACTGCATAAGCTGGAAGCTCGTACTTAACTTTGCTTGTACCTCATTTGCAAATAAAGCCTCTGCTCTGTACCAAACCGCCCAAAGCCTTTCTGAGGTGCCACAAATGAGCCCAGGGGCCTGTAACAGAGCCAACGTACCCCAGTTGCTGAAACCTTTCCCGAGTGCAAAGAGCCGACCCCACGGCTGAGGATTCAGCTCTTCAGATTCCTGGTCCTCGGGGATGCACGGAAGCTCCTGGGTAGGAACGGTGTCCAAAGAACTGAGTGTCCCCGAGCTGGAGGAAGACTGGCTGGTGCCCTGGGACGCCCCGGAGGAGGAGCTGGCACCGCTCTGGGACTGGGGGGCGCCCTGCGCTTCGCTCCCGCTCTCTCGAGACATGTCGGCTTCAAAGGGAACGCCCAACAGCCGTCACTGCGGCAGGGGAACACCGGCGGCCGAGCCGCAACGCCCCCTGCCGCCCCGCCAGAGCGCTGCCGCCCCGAGCCGCCGGGACCGGGGCCGGGGCCAGCTCACGAGTGACGGTCCCGCCGCCGCTCCGGGTTGCCGCGGTGCTGCGCGCGCACGCGCCCGGCCCCGCCCCACCGTGAGCCGAGCCAATCGGGGGCGGGCGGGCGGGCACGGGACTCGCCGGAAGCCGCCGTGGGGATGCGGGCGGCGCTGCGCAGGGCTGGCGCTGGGTCGTGGTTGCCGCGCGCCTCGCAGCCCGCCCCGCGGCCGCGCTGCGGCGGGACCGGCCCGGCCCCGGCCCTGCGGTGCTGGAGCTGCGGCAGCGCCCTCCCCGGTGCCGAGGGGCCGCCGCTCTTCTGCCCCGGGTGCCGCGCCCTGCAGCCGCCGGGCCCGCGGCCCGACCTCTTCCGCCTGATGGCTTGGTGAGTGCGGGCGGGGCGGCCGCGGGCCCGGCCGGCCGCGGGGCCTCACGCCGGCTCCTGTCGTCCGCAGTGACCGCTCCTTCCGCGTCGACGCGCAGCAGCTGCAGCGGCGGTTCCGGAGCCTGCAGCGCGCCGTTCACCCCGACCGCTTCGGCCAGAGGCCGCCGGTGAGCGCAGAGACGAGCGGGAGGCGGCCGGTCTGCCGCCGGCGCGGCCCGCTCGGTTCTCCGGGTTGGGCGTGCGGCGCTTGAGGGGCTCCGGGCGGGAAGAAGCCGCCTCCCGCGTCCGGCTGCGCCGTCCTGGGTGGCGGCGGAGGGCCGGGGCTGCGGGCACTCCCCGGCTCTTGTTTCCCGGTGCTTAGAGCAGACTTGCAGGCCCAGACTCGCGGCGGAGAATGGCGATGCGGGGCTGGCGCTTCCGAGCGCGGGGACACGTGCACAGGTGCTGGCTCCCCGCACCCCAGCTCTGCCAGAAACCACCCTTCCGCTTTATGCACGCTTGTGGCTGGAGAGCGCGCTGCCTGCAGGTAGCAGTGTGATGCATCTGCCGCTGGGTACTAACTTGTGACTGTTATTTATCATCCATGTGCAGGAGGAGCAGTACTACTCTGAGCAACACTCGTCCTTGATTAACAAGGCCTATCAAACCCTCCTGAATCCTCTGAGCCGCGGCATCTATCTGGTAAGGTGTCACTGTGTATTTTGTCACTGCTCCTATAGCTGATCGTAGTGACCGGGGCAGTAATACACTGAATCAGACATTGGCTCCATCGTCAACACACTGATTTGTGTTCCTCTGAAGCAGAGAGCTACTAGAGATTGACAGGAGACCAAAACCAACCTTGTCTTAAAACTTAATAAGCTTTTCAAATATTTTCTTTAACATTTCACTGACTGTTGCCATCTCATTTGCTGCTCATGTCATCCTAATTTGTTTCCTGCATCTCACACTGTGTTTGGCTATAGCTATTCCTTGGAAATTCCGGTCTGGCCTCAACACCTTTGCTGCGATTTTTTTTTTTCCTCTGGCCAACAGCTGATTTGCATGGTTTACCTCTGGAGTCGGTTTTAAGCCAACTCATGCATATTTCCTGGAATAAAATGCAAGTTTATCAGCTATGAATCCGAGTGAGCCCTGTTCAGGGACTAAAGAATCAAGAAAATTCACACTGAAATAGATGTAAGAATGAGCATTTCCAAATCCCCATCGTTTCACAGCTGGAGCTGCATGGAATGGAGCCAGCACAGGAGACAGACTGTGATGCAGACTCTGTGTTTCTCATGGAAATCATGGAAATTAATGAGAAATTAGCAGAGTCTAAAAGTGACGGTATCCTTGAAGAAATTGACACTTTGATTAAAGGTAGGTTATAATATGAGGTGTTTATATAGCTCTAAAATACTCTATCTTGTGTAATATCAGAGTCTAAGACTCTTTATCAACATATTTTAGTATCTCTAACTTGTCTTAGTCTTGAATTGACTCACTGCAAGAGCTTCCCCCAGAAAAAGTTGTCTTTACCAGTTTATGCCATTTTTAATTTAAAGAACAGCTCTGTCTGGAGAAAGTCTGCCCAGCAGTACCTGTTCTGGTGGCAAAAGAGGGATAGCAACTGACTTGTAAAAGAACAAACCACTCAAAATGAAGTTTAATAAAATGCTTGACTGACCACAATAAATAATTTGATTTATACTGACATTATATTTCTTTCACCTTCTTTAACTTAAAACCCATTATATTAAGTGATTATTATCCTTATACAAGCAACTTCCTCAATTGTATTGTTGGTGATGCCCAAAACGTGGAGTTTAGTGGTCTGTTTAATTCTTTGCAATAACAGTAGTGTGCCAAAAGCAATTAGAAAAACAAAAATAAAAACTAAGTAGAATAGAATAAAATTAATTGTAGCAGAGTGAACACCAAAAGTAACTTAGAGCTCTGGGAAGTTGGTGACCATTGATTTGCATTGCAGTTGCTGTCTGTAAACCTGTTTAATCGAAGAAGCTTATCTGCCTGTAATTGTAATTACATGAATCACAGCGTTAAGATGAAAAGCTCTCTCAGCTCCCAGAAGAGTGTGAGGCTATCAACTAGGTTTCCCAACACAGACAGTCAAAATGCAGTGGTATTCAGTATATTAAGTATGTAACAAAAAGTGAATGAAATGATTTGTTTTACAGTTAAACAAGAAGAACTGACCAGAGAGGTGGCTGCAGCTTTTGAAAGAGGTAGCTGTTCCTGTGAAGCATTTGGCTGCCATACAAACCTGTTCTAAATGCTTAAACCCCACATTCCTACTGGCAAATATATCCTGAACTACGGAACAGAAATACTGCAAACACAAGTGTTCTTTGTATGATATTTAGAATAAATACTAAAAACTGACCTTTCAGCTGATGCAGGAAATTCAGGACCTCGCACTAGCTGTAAAAAACCCCATCCAGTACAAAAGTTCCAGTTAATTCAGTCTGTACCCAGATAATCCCTTCCCATGGGAATGCAGGTACTAAAAACTGGTTTGGTTGCTTGGTTCCCAGAGGAGCTGGAGGGTCAGACTTACCCAAATTTAGCACCAGTTCTGAGGTTTCAGACTTGCATTTGGGGGATCTTGCTCTGCCAACAGAAGCTGTCAGCGGAGTAGCAGGTGCTGAACACCTCAGTTGAGGTGTTCCAAAGTGATCCAGGATGAAACCAGTAGGCATCCTGGTTTAGTAGTGTATTATGAGTCCCTGCAACTTGCAGCTTTTAGTGCTGCAGCAGGTGCTGTCACTGAAATATTGAGATTGATTTGAGGATGAAAATTCAGCCTCTGTAACTAATCCTGTTTCCTTTAATTTCAGATGACCTTCAGGAAGCAAAGAAGCTTTTAGCCAAAATGAAGTATTTTGCAAACTTAAAGGATAAACTAAAGAACAAGAAGATCCCTTCTTGATGCTGCCTCCTTTACTGTTAATGCTATTTTTCAATTAAACAGCTAATACAGTTACCAAGTGAGAAAAATAGTGTTTGCTTCCTACCTTTTCACTAAAATCTTTCACTCTGAGAGAAGGGAGATAAGCGTAAGAGAAATCCAGCACTTACTGAGTAACAGATGGAACTGGGAAATGCTGACAGCCAGGAAAAGCTGTTATGGGTAAAGTAGGTAGGACCAGTGTACCAGGAGTCACAGGCACAGACAAGAGTATCACAGAGCACACAAACACTGGATGTAATTAGGATTTCTTACATTTTGACTGATAAAATAAGAGTGATTTGAGAAAGAGCCCTGGAGAAAATGGTGGAGATGAAGCAGACAGCTCGTTCAACAGGTCCTTCAAGCTCTGTGTCCTCCTTGGCTCTGTTCTGTTAAACTATCTTGAAGGATCTGTGGAGGTGAAAAGTATTTAGCTGCTGTCCTCTCTGCTTCCTAGTGCTTTTTGTGATGGTGATCTCAGTGTGCCAGGAACTGACCTTCAAAACTAGAATCTTCACCCTGCTGCTCAGTTGAAAATGTTAAGATGCTAGTTAAGGCAAAAAAATAAACCCAAACTCAAACCCCAGAATCTCTTTTATTTGTACTTTTTTAGGAAAGAAGTCTTTCTAATAAAACGCGTTAAAGCAGTAATTCAGACAGGTGCTGGTCTGTCTTTGTACAGATACAGTGGTGGGACTAGATTAGGAATGTCCTTAAGTCTTTCAAAGAAGTTATTTAAGTTGCCTTTTATTAAATGTCCTCTAAATACACAGGAGGCTTGAATAAACTGCTTGTTCATGGCATTGCACAGCTAATTTAGAAGATGCTATTCATAATCCTCATGGAAGTTCTGCAGCAATGAAATCCCACAGAAGGTTTTTAAAACCCATCATAGAGCTGTCTTCTTTCAGAAAGCTCCATTTCCTTTTTATTTCTTCCAAAATTAAGCTTGTGAAATTCCTTTTTGATTGCCAGAAAAGATTTGTTTTTTGTCTCAGGAATTACAAAGAAGAGGAAAGCAGCCACGGAGGAGCACTCCAGTAAGAAAACCAGGAAGCAATACTGCTTCAGTCTGTTCTGAAAAAGAAATTTGAGTGTAACATATTTCAAGTCCAACAGTGGTGTTTGGAAAATAAAAAGCTTTTTGTTTCACACCTAATGCCGCTGCTCAGATAGTTTTAATAAAAAGCCATTTAACATATCCTTACCTTATATGTAACCTTTTACACTGTTTTTTTTTTTAGATAGAAGACTACCAAGCCCTGAGCAACACACTTGGTAGTACAAAAAAGAAGACCATTTAAACCCAACGGAACAATCCACAGTGTTAAGATTATCTGATTTTTCTGAATGTTCGTATTTGCCAATGCTGTTCATTAAAAAAAACAACTATCTTGCTGAGAAGAGTTCAACTGAGAAGAAAGGACTGCGGGGTCAGGCTGCCCTGTCACCTGCTGCTCCTGCATGTTTTACTCTCAACTGGGAACACAAAGCTGGGGATGAAAGCCTCTGCTGTTTCCTAGTAATCCTGATCACAAAACCCTCCGTACAGCGCTCTGGGAGCGCTCAAGAGCTGTGAACTGCAAGCCCCAGTCACTACTTCTACTTCACTTTGCCACAGAAGCACAAGGCCCCATTAAGAGATGTGTTATCTGGATCTTTGCATCTGATGACATTTTTCTAGTTTTGATGCCTTCTGTGGTCCATTTTTTTTGCTCTGAAACTCAGGCATTACTTTCCATTTTCATTTATCATGGTTTACTATTTTTTTCTGAAAAATAGTAAATCCTTTAAGAGGGATTGACTCTAGTTATACTTGGTTGAGGTGTAGTGAGCACCCTATGTTTAAGTGCTACTGCATCAGGAAATAACACTGTGATGGAGTCCAAGAGAAGAATAAACAAGAGGCGAGGCAATCGGGAAAACATGTTGCACACACTTACCACTATGAAGGGGAAGAGCATCCCAATGGTAAAGAAACTAACCCAGCTGATGGTCCCTCCTATCATGTAAGCAGCAGGACGTGATGACTGTATGAACAGTTCAGCTATCAGGGTATTTGTTATGCCACCTGGGGAGTGAGTTTCAGAAACAAGAGGCTGTTGACCTAATTGTATATATATTCATATTGGCACATTTTTGAATCCTCTGCCCATCCACTAAGTGTCCTCCTGAGGAGCAGTCCCATTGCAGCACTGCTCAGGGAGGTAGGGAAAACCAAATATGCTGCTGCTTGCTTCGTGTCTGACTGGACTGAACTCGAGGCAGAACAGAGACTCCTAACGCATAGCTGAGCCACACTCTGAGGCTATGGAGGCAAAATGCACCAGCACACGGGCTCATTGTGTTCCTTTGCCAGAGCACAGCAGCCTTACAGAAACATCAGTGCCTGGCTTAGAGAGCACAGCTGCTGCCATCCCCCTCACCACTTCAGAACATGCATTAATTACTGGGTCCTACCTGGCCCCAACCCGAAGCTCAAGATGAAGGCAAAGATCGATGTCATGCTCACATAAGGCACCCATGGGTACAGTTCCTGCAGCAGAAGAGAAGAAGGTTTAGTTCAGATTTTGAGAATCCGGTTTTAAAGTCTGGCTTAACAGTTACATTTTCTTTTGTGATTTTATTGCCTCTAAGACAAACAAAACAGTCATTCATGGTTGTTTACAGCTGACTTATTTAACAGTATTGCTTCAGAGAAATTAAATATTGTTCATTTAGTAATTTGTACTAAATGCAGTCTAGTACTTCTGCTGAGATTTGGAATTAGTCCTCTGAGGCTACAAATCAACATGAACACTGAACGCAGCAATTACACGTTGTTAGCATTTTGTCAGTTTATTTTGGTATTTTATACTGATGCATGAGTTAGCTGCCACCAACTGCTTTCACAGCATGAACAGATTCTTCCTGTATCATTATTTATCTATACATAAATTTCAATAGCACAGTAAAGAAACATTAGCATTGCTCTATACATACAAAACCAGGTGCATTAGAAAGACCAAACTTAAAGCTTGAAATCCCATTATTCAAAAGCAAACAGAGACATTTACAGAAGTTACAATCAGAACAATTAAACCAAGGCCTCTGCCCAGGCTGACTCATTCAACCTGCTGCCTAGCCTAGCAGCTTGCCTCACTCCAACCATGCAGGTAAAAAGCGGGGCAGGATGTCATCTTTGTGTGATAAGCGTAGAGCATAATTTGAAGTGAATCTCTCCAGTGAGTTTCCGATAGCTTTTGTGAAATTACACTTTGAACTTAAGTGTCTTTTGAATTTCAGCATCCTGACAATATTGTTTGTTCACTTTACAGTTCAATGACTGAACACCAATGTTTAGTATCATCACTATGAGGATTTCATCCTAAAATGACTTTAACTGCTAAAATAAATGCCATTTTGTCATCACTTAGTTTTGTCAGCATTAAACACAGCTGCAGCTTTAAGACAAATACATGACTAAATCTCTTATTTTAAGGAAATACAACTGCATTCTGCAGCTGATCAAATCTTTCAAGTGCTGTCACTTTTTATGCTGCTGTTTAAACCTTTCCTCCAGCTTCTTTTGAGTGTCACAGATTTTCACTCACTACAGTCATATCATGTAACATTAATGAGTCCTGCTTCATACCTGGTAAGTCAGGGAGAGCGTTAAAACAATGCTCCAAAGGGTCATAAGGAGGTAACCCCCAATGATGAGATACCTTCTTCCCACGTAGTCAATCAGTAAACCCTGTGGACAAGACATCATTTTCCATTACCATGTTGATCTCATATTTACCAGTGTTCCTGTTCAAGAGGCATCTGTACTCTTGACATTAGGAGGTAGGATAAATTGCTACTTACACATGTGAGGGCTGTGAGGCATTCACAAGCTCCAGTGCCAAGCGTCACATATGGGATTTGTTCTGCTGAGATCCCAGCTTGTTCAAAAATGTAAGTTGCATAGAAATAAATCTACAACAGGAAAAAAGTAAATACTAATGGGGCTTTCCTGGAAGTTAAATCATCCACTGGAAACAAAGTCAAGTTCATACTAAACTCATAAGTTTAGTTAAATAAAAATTGAGTTAAATAAGAATAAGCAGCATAAACAGCAACAAGAATCTGTTTAATTCACATCTAGGTAAATACATTGCTACGATACAAGCAAATTTAATTATCCAAACTACTGAACATAGCACTTTACATTCTGAAACCAAACACAGCAGGTGAGCTGATCCACCTTCATCTACTTTCTCAGAAGAATGTGCAAGTATTAAGTCACTCTTTAAAGAATTTACATACCAGAAACACAGAAATGAGAAAAAAAGAGAAAAACACAGAAGTACAACTAAAATATTCTTTCCCGCTTATCCCATTTTCTGGGCTTCTCTATGTGGATCTTTTGTTTTAATAAAAGGTTGAAAACCACATGGAAATGAAATCATTATTAAAGCCGTTTGTAGGTATGAAAACTTACAGCATTTATCCCACTGAGCTGCTGGCCCATATTCATCACAATAACAGTAATAAGCTGCCATCTTACAGCACGGTCAGTGAATAACTGCCAGGGCTTCTTGGCCTTCTCCCCATCCAAGGCAAAGCTTTCCTGCTGTATGTCTTCCATCTCCCTTCCATACTCTGAAGAACCATGAAATCGCTTCAAAGCTGAACAAAGAAGAAAACACTCACACAGCTTCTGGAAAATACCTCCTTCCACCACGACCCAGCATCTGCTGGGATATGGAAACATTGCTTTTTGACTTGGCTTTTGCTTGCTGGTTTCCAACATTTTTTGCTGTGGTGGACTGCTGTTGCTTCCTATGTTGAAGATCTTGCCACAAGACACACTGGTCTATCTACTAGTACCTTTTCCAGACAGGTAAAAATTCGTATGTTCATCAACAGCACATCAAAAGAACAGAAGAAAAGCAAGAGAAATATTTTTCCTTTATTTATGCATAAAATGAAAACTGAACCGAATACAACCCTATCAATGCTAAGAAGGTAAAACTTTCTTTGTTACAGTCTCTCATTTAGTTACCATTTTAAATGGAAGACACAGGGATCACAAGTGTCATTTTATGTCACTGTGAACTGTATCAGTATTACCATACCAGCAGAAGTAGAAACGCTGAACACATTTCTGAAAATGTGTATTTTAATGTCCAAATTTGTACACTGGAATCTCTTTTTTCTGTCCTCTCAATTTTATTAACTACTTATTATTTTAGAGACAACCTTTTCATATTTTTTTAACAGACCTTAAACTGAATTAATTGGACCTGTTTACTTATAGGGACTAATACTTTACTGTATGGAGCACTATTCCACCTGGTCTCCCTGGCAAGCAAAACACTCTCCATGGCATGTGAGGACCCGAATAGCCTCAGTGCCTTCTGCATTCTCGTGTGAAAAAAAAAAACAAAACCATTCTTGTGATGTTTATTTTCTTCTCGTAGTATGAAGAGAAGTGTTCACAATCAATTACAGACTCCTGAGTTCCACAATCCCTATTTTCATATAAGCTCACTGAAGGAAAAACATGGGCCAAAAAGCACTAGGCAATAAAAATATGCTGTGTTGATACAGACAAAAGGAGAATCTGGAACCCAAGATACTCCCTGTACCCTTCTGAAGACACAAAGAAAGTATAAACACTGAAAATTACCTTTGACACAGCTCAGCTCATCACCCCTGTCGATAAGAAGATATCTGGGGCTTTCAGGAAACCATGGCAGGAATAGAAGTTGGGCAAATGCTGGTAAACAGCTGCTGGATAGCAACAGAGGCCAATACATTTCTTCACCTAATAATTCCCTGGGAGAGACAGGGAAAAAGAAGGGACGGAAGAGGGAAAACCCTACAATTAATTAGCTTATTGCTGTGTTGGACTTAAGCATTATTTTCAGGTTCTCCAAAACTGTTTTCTAGCAGCGCAGGAAAGCAAAAGCATACGGACATCACCTTCAGGTCAGCAGCATCACTTGCTTTGGAGAATTACACAATAATTTAGGACAGAAAGGAACTCAGAAAAGTGTAAATGTAACTGTTTTACTGATGCTGTTCTAAACTGAGGATACCTCCCTGGGGAGACAGCAGAGATGGTGTGCAGCTGTGGGAATAAGGTGACAAAAGGACGGTTTTCTTCTTATAGGTAGACGTTGTAAAGCGTGAAGTTGATTCACTAATGCTGCAATGGCCACAATGAATATTTTGCAGGGAGCTGCAGGGAACTGGAATTCTTTACATGCAAGTAGCACAAGTCAGGAAAACAAAATGCATTTCTAACCTCAAACCAATTATTTGTCCAATCAGAATCCCCCCAGTCAGAAAGATGGAACTCCCCATGGCCATGCCACCTCTGAGATGTTTTGGGGCAACTTCCCCAAGATACAGAGGCTGCACACAGATCCCAACACCTGCAAGTAAATGGAAGAACATTTTTCTATTAATAGATTTTGCTTTGTCACTGAACCAAAACATGTACGAAATCAGACTTAGTCAGTTTCCTGTTACTTTAGCTGCCTTCAGATTCCAAGTTAGACTACATAACATTTTTGTCATCGTATCTACAAAGTAGCACACAAACACGTATCATAACACCTAAAGAAAAAGCAGTAACAATAATTTAGCATTCACCATAGTTTACTGAAAGTAGGAATAGGAGAGAATTCACCTGAATTTATGCCAATCAAAAACCTTCCAACAATCAGCAACTCAAACAATCCTGTAGGAAAACTGATCCCCATTAAAATGGAGGCCAGTATTGCTATAATATTATTCATCAAAAGAGCTCCTTTCCTAAATAGGACAAAAAAAAATAGGAAAAAAATAAAAAATAAGGAAATCTGCAATAACATGCTCTTTAAACATCTCCTTTCTGGTAATACAGAAAAAAAATGGAGTTTATACTGAAGAAAGGAGTGGGGTTTTGCTCATTTATGCTGTATCTATAAAGCATGCACATGAAATGTTACAAATTACACAGTATGCCTTTACTGGCATGAAGGCTTCAAATGCTCACTTGGGACCTGTGTTTCCTGCCATGCAACATGTGCATATACTCCTACTTAGATTCCAATAAATGTCATGGAAAGACTAGACTGGAAGGCTGTAACTCAAATCTCACCTTTTAAAGTCACATTGGAGCAAACTGTAAAATTCTACTAGAAAACTCTGCTTCAAAGTGAAAACCATTTTTAGTCACCTAAGGTACATTTTCTCCCACTTTTTTCCATTTATGTACTTTCTATTCCAGTGAGAAAGTAGAAGGAAACATGCTGAACCTGATGAACTCACCTGCCCAGCCAAATTGCCATGCTGCCTCCAACAAGGGCTCCACACAGGCCCCCAAGTGAAAATACAGAAGCGATGACAGACCAAAGAAAAGTCAGCAGATCTGGATTTAGTGCCTTGTGATAACGATTAGTCCAGGTTTCATTTAAGAACCTGTGTATATGCTGCAGAAAAGAATGATGAATGTGGAGCATTATGTGTAATCAGAGGCTCCGGTTTTAGCCAGCAAACAAAGACTTAACAGAAGAAAAAACTGCCTGGCCTCCCCCTCCTTTCCAGCATATTACATGTTCTTTCACAAACGGCTTATTTTAACCTTTGTAACAAGCATATGATACTGTAGCAAATTCAATTTTCACAGTTTCAAAAGAAAATAAATGAGCTAACAGCAGATGATAGCCATCACTTTCAACATACCATCTGCTCAGATCCTCTGGAGTCACCCACAAAATATGCAGAATCCTCAAGGCCAGCGCAAGGGACACAAATGTAACAAGTAGGTGAAAATATCTACAAGATACTTGGACACTACACATTAAAGTTCTTGACTCTCTAAGATCTTTCTCAGTAAGCTGCCTTTTACTGTAACTATCTTTTCTCCCTGTTATCCACTGACAGGACACATGGGAACGGTTCAAGGCTGCATCAGGGGAAACGGTGGTGACATTTTACAGAAACGTGGTCTGGTCAGACACTGGAACAGGCTTCCTGGAGAAGGGGTCAATGCCCCAAACCTCAGCATTTAAGAGGCATTTGGACAATGCCCTTAGTAACAGGCTTTAACTTCCGGTCAGGCAGCTAGACTGAGTTGTAGGTCTGTTCCAACTGAAAATGTTATACTCTGTTCTTAATGTTCTGGGCTATTTTAGTCAAAAGTGTAACTGGAAGATGCTCCTTATTTGGTCAGTTAATCCTTCTAAAACAGACTTTAACAGAGGTTTTTATGTGGCCTATTTGTCACTTTTATCTGACACACAACACCTCTGATGGGAGCTACAAATTCACATGAAACCACTTTGAAAAGCAACAAGAATCCTTCATAGGAGAGGAAGCCTGCTTTGGTGCCATTGTGATCACAGTAGAAGTGCATGTGGCCTCTCAGCCGGTTAGACAGGACACCTCCGTTACTGCAGAACAACCTTGGGAACAAGAGACCATGTTTTACCTGGGTGGGGGCATTGATGATGGAAACATTATACCCATACTGAAAGGTTCCTCCAATTCCAACAGCACAAACAGCCAGAAACAAGGTCCAGCTGGGGAGCTAGAAAACAGAAGAGAGTAATGGGAATGAAAAGCGATAGAGCCTTGAACCCACATGCGTGTAACATCTATGAGAAAATCACAGCGAAACATATAATGAATTGAGTTTTGAACAGTGAAAGCATTCATTCAGAAAACTACATAAACTGTCAAACACCTGCAGCAAGAGAAAAAAAATCATGCAGACTTTGGCCATAATCACTGACATCTTTTAGAGATGCAACAATTACAAGTATGCAGGTTCATCATAAGCAATACAACCATTGCACTGCTGATGGCATAGTACAGCTTCCTCGAGAATAAAAAGTGCTTCTCTGAATGACAAGCAAGCAATGCATTAACAGTAAGGGCTGCAGCAAGCACAATAGAAAAAATAAAAGCAGAGGTGGTGCACCGCACGCTCAGACCCTTCTGTTAACCAAATACTGACAACATAATCTGTGTGTCTCATAGGTACAACCTGGAATCTATAACAGACAGAAAACAAACAAAACCACCCCAGAACCATTAACATACATCACACAGCTTATGTTCTGTTATGATAGCTCTGCTCCTCCTCCTGCCCAAATCGGTCTGTTCATTACACCAGCATCTTGAGTCACACTGGAGCTTCCATGTATGCTCTGTAAACTACTTTCCTCCTGACGGCTTACACGGACTTTCACGCCATTTCAGAAACACGCCACACACAAAATTCAATTTACATCCAATGTAAACCGTAAGAATCAGCCAACACGCTTTCACAGCTGCCGCTTTACAACACAGCCAGGAGTCTAAGGAAAAAACAGCACTTCATGAGCCTGCTCATCTAAACGTAAAAGTAGAGATGAAACCAGAAAATTTCACATGTGCGCATCCCTGTTAAAGCTACAAACTCCCTGCAGGAGCCATCCCCAGAGCCCCAGAGGCCAAAGCAGTACTTACCTTGCTACGTGCACTACACCCTCTCAGCAGGGGCTGGGACTCCATTCTTAGTATGGGCTGAATTCGATTTCCTTTGCAAAATTTAGTAAACTACACTTCAGGGATAAAAGGTACCAAGGCATTAAGTTGTTACTCCATTAAAACACGTTTCTGCCTTCCACCTCTAGCCTTTGGTGCTCTCAGTGTCTCTCGACCCATCAGGACGGCAGCGTTCCGCCACCGCAAACGCTCTCACAGGCGCGGTCCCCCTCGTCGGAGCACAAACCCGCCCGCTGCCCCCCGCGCCATGCAGCCACCGAGAGCGGCAACGCTCACCTGGCGGGGAGCCATGGACCTCCGGCTCCGCTCCTCTGCGTCCCGCCGCGGCAGCTCTCGGAGCTGAGCCCTCACGTCCCCGGGAGCAGCCCGCCCCAGCCCGCGGCTCTGCCCGCCACCCGCCGAGGTGAGGGGAGGGGACAACAGCGCCTCCACCCGCCCGCGCGCTCCCATGGCTGCCGGTGCTTTGCCGCTCTCGGGGGCGTCCCGCCGCGCGGCTGCTGCTGCCCTAAGGCCGCCTTGGGGGCGCCGGAACTACAGCTCCAATAGTGCCCCGCGCGCCGCCGCCGGGACTACAACTCCCATAGTGCCCCGCGCGCCGCCGCCGGGACTACAGCTCCCATAGTGCCCCGCGCCCGTCTTCGGCAGGCGTTGCGGAAGGCCTGGAAAGGACTCGCGCTCTGGCGGTGTCGTCCCCCCCCGGGCCCGGCCCGGCCCGGCCCGCTCCGGCCTAGCGGTGAGCGCTCCGTGGGCAGTTGTTCTGTGCTGCCGCGCCGGGCCGGGCCCAGTGGAGTCCAGGGCGCACCGAGGTGCCGCCGTCCCGGCTCACCTTCGCGGCCGCGGGGCTTTGTTAGCGCGGGTCTCTGCGAGAGCGCCCCGGGCGGGGCCGGGCCCGGCCGGCGCCAGCATTGGGAGGGCGGCTTCGGGCCGGGGCGCGGCGAAGCCCGGGCCGGTCCCCCCCGCAGGGTCGCCCCGCTGGTGCGGATGGGCGGCGTTGATGTCCTCTCTTTCCCCAAGCAGGAAATGGCAGCGCTGGGCAGGTCCTGCCAGCGCGTCCCCGCAGGCCCTGCCGTGGAGTTTCCGCAGGCGCCGGCCGCGGCCCCCGACCGCCACGGCCCGCAGCCCGCCGTCGGCGGCCACGACCGCCTACAGCCCCCCGCGATGCTGATGATGATGGCCGGGAACGGAAGCGACGGTACCGATGGCGGCCATTCCTCCGGCCTGTACCTCACAAGCGGCTTCGACGTGGCCTCGCTCGCCGCGCTGGGCAGTTACAACGAGGGCTCGCCGGTGGCCCCGGTGGGCTCCTTCACGAGCGCCGCGCACCCGCAGCAGGGCCTCGGACAGTAAGTGCGGAGCCAGCGGCCGCGGCGAGGGGATGAACGTGTTTCTCGGCTGCGGGGCAGCGTGAAACGGGTTTTCTTCTCGAGACAAGCTATAATGTGTTTTCTTGTCGTAGCGTTTCACTTGTACGATGTTAGAATTGTGTTGCACGCGTCTTAACGGCCTTCAGGTTTGTAAGTGAGGGAAGTGAGGAGCTTCCTAAGTGGAAAGAAATGCGATGAGGTTTACTGACATCTTGGCATGATCTTAAGTTCATGCACGTTTTACTTTAACTTGCTCTTTCTCATATGCAAGCACAAAAAGCTGTTCCATAAACTGTTGTTTGGTCATCATTAATTTGAGTATGTTACTGGGAGACCAGGTATTAAGAGACTGAAGCTGGATCACTTGTTGCTTGTTGAAGCATTTTTTCAGAAATTGGACTTGTCCCCTTGTGGAAAAAAAGCAAATAATGTAAAGGAGGAGAAATTAGCATGGAATTCTGCTTGGAAAACGAAGTAATTACAGCTGCCTTTGACTTTTTGGGGAACAAAGTGTCATTTATTGTCCCTTCACAGGTGGTAGCAGACTATGACTGTTGCTCTTAGCGGCAAGTGAAATTTTTAAAGGGAGGGAAATATTGTTTGAAATCTCAGTGTCACTGGAAGATAGAATCTAAATAACCATTTGTTTTTCTTTTGCAGTGGCTCTGTTCGCTGTGGAAAGAAGCATAAGCTAGAAGAAGAGACTGAAGGGTAAATTAAATTTGTCTTTTGTAGCCAGAAAATACTTAATTTGCTTTTTATTTTCGATAAAGATTTGAGCACATCTCACCCACAATGTGTACAGGAAGGGAACTTCTATCATTGTTTCAGTTTGGAATTCTTACCCCAAGTTGCACACGAGCCTGAATCCCTTTCAGTCACCTAATGAATTGTGTAGTGCTGGTTTTCTTGCATGGGTATTCACATTTTCTTAGGAGCAGCATGGATTCATGTTCTTTGTGGAGTTTGTTTCCATAGTGTGTCAGATCTGTTGATATGCACATGGCTTTCTATTAACATTTTTTCCTGTAGAATGGTACGTTTTTCTTTTGACAGCTGTAAAATTACTTTGTTTCCTAGTTGTCCTGTGCGGAAGAAGAGACTGACAGGAGCCAAAAATTGCCCTTTGAATCCCAACGCTGAAGAATGGATTCTCTGTGCAGGTCAGCAGGCAGCTGGGGAGGTAGCAAGTCAGTATGATGGCAGCGGTCCTGAAACTGCCATGTTAGAAATTCCCTGTGAAGAAATGGATCAGACAATGGGGGAACAGCAATGCGAGGTTGCTCGCAGGAAGCTTCAGGAAATTGAGGACAGGTAAATGCAGGGATTGAGTAGACTGGCTTTGCTGAGCTTTCCATTTTTTGTGGGCATTACGGGGTAAATCTGGCACTTAGCAGTGTAGTAACACTGTAATAACCTTCTGTTCAAGCACTTGCTTTTTAGGCTGCCTGTGGTCCTAATGGGTCGTAGGGCTGGTACTATGATCTGAAATTGAGGGTGCTAAAGCAAGAGATGCTGAATAAGTAACCACCTTTTCACAATCATGCAGCATCAGTATACCGTAATGGGGCTTTATGCTCTTTTGTGAGTTTCTAGAGCTCAAATTTGAGCTAGTGTTATCTGGTCAGACTTGAGTTAATCTTTTTTCAGTCAGTTGCAGCTTGTTCTATGATTAATACTTCTAAATGCTCAAGACAGATATGAATTTGTCAGCATAGAAAGTAACATGAACCAAAGATCTCTCTCTGGACATAGGCAATGAGACTGAGGTTCATCTTGCTGTTAAATAGCAGATAGCTTGATATGGGGGTAATGGGGTGGCTGTGGGCAGTCTGTTGCAGTCATTTAATAAATGTACTATGCATTTTTGTCTTTGAAAGATTTCTGGGAATGTTATGTGCATTTATCAGTTGGTGACAGTTGAGGTAGTATTCCGAAATACCTAAAATGACCACTGAAGACAGTTGTTAGGAAAGCCAAACGTTTGAAAGTTATAAACCAGGCTGTTTTTTTAGATGATTACTCCGTAGTTGATGCATGAAGGGAAACAAGGTACTGTTAGATCATTTCATTTTTTCACAGGTAAATCAGAGTAGTGATGTATGTCTTCATTATCTGGGTATAGCTGCAGTAATGCAGTCTGCTTTGACCTCTCAGAGGATTGTTCCCCATCCTTCCCAGCTACTCTGCTGAATTTTCTTTAAAAGGTTTACCAAAACCAAAGGAGATACCTCCAGTTTGTTCTAAATACTTCTTGTGCCATTTTAATCTCTGAGGAATTGGTGCAAAATTGTTAAAGGTTAAGAACTGCATTCAGCACCTTTTCAGTTAAGATATGGGGAATTGAGCAGGTGAAGCTGCTGCAAAACTGAACTAGCTAGCTCCTGTAATGCGACCAAATGACCCAGTTTCCCCTGAAGTGAATTTATGTATTTTCTCTTAGTGTTTGTTTGCATTGCACACTGCTGGATGATGCAGGGATAACAAAGCTAGCTCAGGTACCAGAAGTGGCACAGCTGCTCAAGTGGCTTCTATGCGTACAATTGTTCTTAGGGTATATTGGCCCAAGAGAAACTCATGTTAACATGGCCCCGCTGCTTCTGGTACCCAGCCTAGGTTGGATGTCTACACGGTACAGTGCAGTGTGCGGACATGAAACTGTAGTCTGCGGTGGATGTGCCTGTTAACAGAATGCTCAATAGTATTTATCTCCCTCTTCCCCCTCCATTCCTAGGATAATTGATGAAGATGAGGAAGTTCATGCTGATGGAAATGTTAGCAATCTGCCCACTCTTATCCTGTCAGATACCCTTAAAAAAGGGATGAAGAGGGATTTTGATGAAGTCCTGACAAAGAAAATAATAGAATCTATGTAAGTTCTGGAGGAAATCATGGTGCTATGTAGCTAACACATGCAAATGAAAAGAGAGACCCAGTCTCATGTTTGTGGAGATGACCTTAATTAGTGCATGATGCAGCCAACACTGTGTAACAAACTATTCAAAATAGGAAAAACTGTCCTGATGTACAAGAGAAGTAAACGTAACTCTGTAGTGGTCATCAAGCTGTCTGTTTTGTACTCCTCACTTCTACAGAGTGAAATTTGTGGAATAAACCATTGTATCTTGATTTTCATGTATGTGAGTTTCCAAAAGAAGGTGGTCCTGAAGTGTGACCAACAGTGGTCTTTAGTTTGGTGGAAAAGAAAATATAGGCTTAGAACAAGAAGTAACGAAACTGGTTAAGGAAGAGGAAATTAATTAGGGGAAAATAAAAGGTCTCTGGATTCTGGAATATAGTTCCAGGCTAGCACAAAGGATGAAGATACTCACTGGTCTTCTGCATTTAATAGTTGCGATTGGAGAACTTGTATTTAACCGAGACTCCATCCCTTCTAGGAGCCGTCCTTCTATGGAGCTGGTGCTTTGGAAACCTCTTCCTGAATTTCTCTCAGATAAACTGAAGTCTGTTTCTGTTAAGAACTTCAAGCAGCAGCGTGTAGAAGGGTGTCAAGCTAAGCAGTCAACACCAAGAGCTGCTTTTGACCCACAAACTGAAACATTCCCTGAATCACAACAGACTGCCATGTCTCCGGATCCATATGCTACTTTGGGAATCTCTGGGTGTGCAGAAGAAGAAATGGAGTTGTAGATACCAGACTGAAGAGTGAGAATGGTGAGCTTCAGATGGGTTTTGTTCCTTTTTTATTTAATTCCCTCTTTCTTTCTGGTTTGATGTGTGAATCTGAATTTTTTTTTTCTTACTAACAATTATAAATGGATTGGCCAATCACAAAGTAACTGAAAAAACTCCCCAAGATTTCTGTACTCTGGCATGTTAAATATTCTTTTTTTTACTGAGGGGGTAATCCAGAGGCCTTTGTAACAAGGAAGTAGCTTTCCATCTTGCTTAATGGTGGAATATCCCCTTGATTGTTCTTGGTAAAAGTATAAAATCCAAATATTGAATGTAACTGTGGCTTAAGCCACATCTTTCACGTACTGAGCCATTAAGACTTTGGTGCACATACTATGCTTGGTCAGTTAGTTTAATTTGAACTACAAAAAGATATGGAAAGGAAGAAATACTTTTGACTTTAGACACAGACAGAAGAGCAATCCCTGTGGTAATACAGCTTTTCACACTATTTCATCTCTGGCTGGTTTGTACTTGATGCAAACTCATGTAGAAATTGCACATTCTGCAGTGTGATAGGGAAGGAATGTTATAGCTGAGCATAAACCTCTTGCTTTGTGGAAAGTAAACCAGCTACTAGCTTGCAAGATATCTACTAACTTGAGTCATCATCTTTGGCTCATTAGCTCCTAAACTGTGCTTGTGGGTTTTTGCTGCAACCCTCCCCAAACAATGTAAAGTCTGGAAAAAAGTGGTTCTCAGCCAACTGATTCACTTACACTGTGCTGTGATTCTTTGTATGCATCGAATAGGAAAGTCAGCTAAAGGCAGTGTAACTTTTGATGAAATAAATGGTATCCTTTAATTTTTATAAACACGGTAAGCAAATCAGGTAACAGAGCCGCTTTCTGGCATAAACAGGGTCAAATGCTGGTTATCATCTGTAACAAAGTCCCAGACTTGAGGACCTGAGACTGCTGGCACTGGTAGTGAAGATGCTTGTCTTCTGTGGGAATCTGTATTTAAATTTTAAGCCAGAGCATGTGCCATTAGCATAACGTCACATAGTTTATACATATGTATGCCAAAAGAATTTTGTACTCAGCTGAGGGTGTTAAGAAAAGGAATCCTCGATGAGTCGTTGCTTGTACCTTTCCTCAATGCACAACAGTTTCATTATGCTTAAAATGCTTAAAACAAGGCAGAGAATCTTATGTTCTGAAGTCTTTGAGCTTTCTCAGAGATACATGAATTGAGGCTTTTTTATAAGAAGTTCCTTTCAGGGAAATAATTTCTGTTCAGTTTTAGCATCCCATTCTGTTGTTGACATCTTGCTAACATAAAAGAGCAAGTACACAGCTGACGCCAGAAGCTTTGTTCAGAAGATACCCCTATTTGTTAAACCCTTGTCTATCTTGCTGCTCTCGTTAAAGGTTTTGTGACATTTGCTGTCTCTTACTAAAACATTTCAGAGCATCACCCAAAACATTTCAACACTTGAATAGGTATTACCCTGCTAAGCAACTTATAATTTGACTATTCTGAAACTGTTATTAAATTGGGAAACATGTGCACCTTTATTTTGCTATTATGTCCAATTTTATAAATCTCTTGCATGTACTCTGTAAAACTTCTCATGTATTATTAAGCTGCTAAGTGTGCTTAAAATCTACAGCCTTTGACATGCTACACTGTTCGAGTATAAAGTCAAACAACGTAGTTCGGAGAAGATTGTTGTCACTGTGGGCAGAAAACGTAGTACCTCCAAATACTTACATGTTTCTAAGCTTGCAGGATTATAGTGAAAGTTCAAGGTTGGAACTGTTTTAGCTGATAGCTCTGAATCCTAAATAAACTGAAAAGATAAGTAATTCAAAACCATTTCAGCAACACTAAAAATTGCAAGGGAGTGTAGAAAACTGGGAGGCCAAAATGAGTAAAATCTAGATGCAGGGTTTCCTCTCAAAAATAAAAATTGCATTATCAAATTTGCAGAGTAAATTCTTGTAGATGGTTTTTAAGCTTACTTTCTTCCTGTTACATTTGTACCAAAGGTTGGCTTTCACAGATGCATTTCCTCTTAATTTTTTTTTTATGCTAATACAGCACCACTGATTCCTGTTATTCAGCCATCTGACACACTAATACAGTGGTGAGCTACTGACAGAGACCAAGATGTGGGGGAAAAAACCCTGTGTCCAAGCAGTGCGCTTTGATATAAAACATCATTTTCATAATTAATTTCCGCCCTTGCAATAGGAGAGAACAGTAAGATAAAGAAGGAATTAGGCGGGGAAGACAGAGATTCTTCTTGTAGCCACCTTCTGGAGAGGGCAAGAGAGAAGCAGCTGTGGGGTGGTTTCAGACTTCTGTGTTCATACCCGTTTCATTTGTTGTTAGCTTCCTTAAAAGATTTTATTCATGCTGTTTACAAGCGGGATGGCAAATTAATGCAGTATTAGGAAAAACTTTATTTTGAAATACGATATGATTGTGGTCTGTCTTCTCAGGGGACCAAATCACCGTTTGTATGTCAGTTTGCAATAAATTTTCTAAAATATTTTTTAGATGCCTGTGTTTCATTCCTAACAAAACTGAACACCTTGAGAGCGTATGTGCAGTCGTTCAGCTGGAGGGTAAAATACTCTTCAGCCCAAGATTTGTAATCTAACTACATAGTTCCAAGAGCATGTCAGTGTTCAGCAGGAGCATAGCAGCAGGGTGGGAGAAAGCTGAAGCTGCCAGAAAGGAAGCACTGTTCTAAATCTGTTATGCCACTAATGTTTGACTATTAAAACAAATTCACATTTTATTTTATATGTAACACTTCATTCATCCACTGAACATCTGCCTCAAGCAACAATTTAGACTCTCCAAAGTTTAACTTTTCTAATGTCAGTTCTGCTATACTACAGTGCTGTCATTTTTACTGCTGTTCAGTGCTCAGAGAGAATGCTTTATTACAAGCTAGGTTTTTCATTTGTATAAAAAGCAATCTTATCACCTTGGTTAGTAACCAGTACCCTCTTGTCCCATCCCCCATTTTCTTTCCTCCCTCACCTCAAGCTATTTTCTGGCAAAGTCTAATGCACAGCATGACAACTGAAGCCAGGAGCAGCTGAGCAAACCCTTGCAACAGCTCTCCCTTTCAGAATAAAACTTCAGTTCTTCCTTCGTGGTTCCAGTTTCACCTCCAGTTCAAGTTGGTTTAATGCTGTAATGTTGGAACAAATGGATGGGGACAACAAAAAAGTCCTCTTGTGTTATTTGAAATTAGCTCCTGCAAAGTTAATTTTACGCTTCAGGAATTCGTGTGGAACACAATCTTCACCTTTTTTCATCCCATGTACGTCACACAGCTTCAGCAATACTGGGCCCCACTTGAAGTGCACCCACCTTGACCAAAACTGAGCATTTTGAATGGCTTTACTGGTGAACAGGAAGATATTACAATAATTGCATTCAGATAATCAGGCTACTGCCCAACTGCACTCCCTATTCAGGCTGCAGATTCTGCTCTAGCAGCTCCAGCCATTATACAAACCCATCTGTCTCAAACAGTTTGCAACATCAAATGCTCTCAGAAGCTGCCAGCAGCACTTCTGTACACTACAGAAGTGCTGCTGGATTGGTGCATTAAGGTGATTTAATGACAAGGCACCAAGACCTAATCTGCTAAAGTTTCAAATTCTGCAAGGCCCACATACTTTCTCCTCCCCACTGAGATCCAAGGCAAAAAAGGAACAGTGAGCTGCACTGCACTTTAATTGCACCAACAGTTAAATATTAAATGGAGAAAGCAACTCTACATAGCAAATGTAAAACAAGTATTTACATAGTAAATCTGTAAGATACACAGACTAGTTTCAACACAGCTGTCTATACTTTGACTATCTCATTGCAGTTTTGGGGGTTAAAATTACTTTAAATTGAAAACAAGCTTTTTCAGGTTCATATAGAACTGGCAAGTTTTGAGAAACCACCTTTCCTCCCTCATAAGCCAATAGTGATGGGGGGGGGGGGGTAGGAAAGGGCACCCTGGGTTTTTTGATACCAGAAATGCATTGGCCATCACTTCATTTACTAGCACAGGTAGAAGTTGGCAACACTTCCCTGAATGCACTGGATTTCCACCCCCACCCCAAAGGGGCTTATTCTGTTATCCTGTTTATCCAAGGGGAGTTAACACTACTGGGTTAGACACTGATCAGTTGGGGAAAGAGTTCATTAGCAAAGCTATCCTCCCAGGCATGGTCAGTGCCAAGTGGAGAGGACATGTCACTGAAGGGTGACAGGGATCCTTCATATCCAGAGTCACTACAGGCATCCAACAGAGAGCTTGAGGCTGCAAGACTATGATGAGAGGAAAGCAGGTGAGAGGTACCCAGTTCAGGCATGAAGCTGTCTACTGGTTCCTCCTTCACAGATACTGGCACCCTGGGGATAACTTTGTCTTCAGATGGAGAGAGAGAGACTTCCTCAATTTTCACTAGCATATTGGTTTGGTTGCCCATTTTAACAGGAATCTCCAGTATCAGGGGCTTGGTGTACACATGATCAAACCTTATGAGTTCATTAATGGCCTCCAGCTTAGCTGATGGGGACCCCAAAGAGGGAGAGGGGGGGGCTGGTATGGAACTTGTTTCTCCACAGATCTCTTCCTCCAGCTTTTCCAGGCACGTTGACTCTGAATCAGCGTATTTAAGAAACATCTCTGGGTCCAGACTGTCCAGAAAGCCCAATAGGAGATCAGACTGCAGAATGAAATATTGTTTTAGAAAGAGAGTCCACTACTGTTACAGCAGAACATCAGTTGCTACATCTATTAACCTTCATCTGGAAGTTAAAACATGCTAACACAATAACAGAACACTGCTATAAGAACAGCGAAGGCAATTACTTCTGTTTCATAAGTTCTTGGTCTGTTAGCTTTTTTTTGTAAGGGCACTGACAATCCCCATAGAATTCTACATGTATTTTATATTCACAGCCTATTAGAAACTCATCAAGATCTTGCTCCTCAAGAGCAGGTACCAGAGCCTGGTGTGATCAGACCTGCCCATGATTAAAGCTGCAGGTCTAGGAGGGGTGGGAGAGGTGTTTGTGCCTTGCTCCTGCCC